TATATATATATATATATATAGGGATGCGCTCCTGTGAAAATGGTTCTCAATGAAAGAAATAAAAATACATTACAGTCATTGGATCAGATGATCTAACGGCAAAAAAAATACAGCATTTTATACATTCATTAAGGGTAATTTTGACATTATACACAATTAAACCACATCAGGACCCAAGTCAACCCCACCACACCAAAATCTCTCACACAAACGCACCACACCAAAATCTCTCACACACACGCACCGCACACTATCTCACACACTGGCACGCACACATATCACCACGACAGTTACGCACACAAAACAGACGGATCTGCACCGCCACTTTCGCCTCGCCGTCGTCGCCCCGCCACTGCCGCCGCCGGCGAGAGCATCACCGTCACAACCGCCTTCATCCCTACCTGTCGGAGCGTCCACGCCACAGACCACCGGATCTGCACCAACACTTCCGTGCTGCCACAGTCGCCTCCGCGCCGCCGCCGTCGCCCCGCCACTACCGCCGCCTGCGAGAGCATCACTGTCACATCCGCTTTCATCCCAACCTGCCGGAGCGTCCAATCCCCCACCGGATTTCATAGACAGAATGCGGCCGAAAAATCGTCGCCGCTGGCACAACAACACATCAACCGTACGCTTCAACCACGTGACCAGAGAATCCCACGGCCATCAAAACTGCACCAATCGAGGCCCGTCGCAGCTCCGTCACCAACTCCAGACAGCCACCCGATTTTAGAAAAAACCGGTCGGATGGAGCAAATCACCGGCGAGAATCCGTACGTCCTCTCGGTCGGGCGATTCGTGACGTCAAGGACGACGGCCGAATTGGCCGGGAACACGTGAAACTGTGTGTTGAGAATTTGATATTTCACAGGGATCTAATTGCAAATTTGATAATTTTTATTATATTTCAATTTCACCCATGGGTGAAATCTGCATTTCATGAATATCTTTTTATTAAATTTCAATTTCACCCATGGGTGAAATCTTCAATTTATGAAAATATACAAAATAATAGTATTCTTTATATATTTTTGTATACATATATAAATTATGTCATTTTTAAACAAAAAACAATAAAAAATATAAAATTATTAAACTACCAAAAGATATTTTCATAATAATAAATAATGAAATATTTCAACCAATCGAACAATAAAATTATTTCAGTTAATTTTTAGTTTGAATTTGAACATAAAAAAAACTCAAATTTTATGCACAATAGTATTAATTTTTTTGCACATTAGTGAATGTCAGATTGCATTATAGCATTAGAAGGAATGCACATTAATGCGCTTGTAATTAATTTATTTAAAAAACATTATTATTTATTTTCGACATATAATATTAAATAAAATTAAAAAATACTAGACATATTTTAATTACATGAGTTATATAATAAGTGAAAGATAATTTTAATTAAAATACACATTATTAAAATTTCCTAAAATTGAGATGCATATGAAAAGTACTCGATCAATAGAATGCATACAAGTGTTATAGTAGATGCACATTTGTGTATGGGTGTTTATACTTTATTGTTTTTGGTATTTTATATATTATATATTTTAACAAATAAATAATATAAAAATAATACATAATATTATTAACATATTAAACTTGTTAATAAAACATAATGTTAATATTAAGAGCATATTATTTCGATTAGTTAGGATAATTCGGTTAGCCGAACTGAATAAACAATTATTTATGTTTAATTTAAATATGATTTAGAACAAAAGTTCGTTTCAGTTCAATTTGGCCAACACCATGCACCGTAGTATTGGACGAATTGCACATTAATAATTGATATATTGCACATTATATTTTGTTACTTATATATTAAATTTTTAATCAAACATATAATATTAAATACAAATATTAAAGACTAATCATGTTTTTAGAATAAATAATATAATTTATTTTGTTTATTTTGATTATTTATATTAACCAACAAATTAAACCGATTATGTCAAAATTTTCAGTTCGAAAATTTATTTTTCGTTTTGATTATTTGATTTTACTTTTAAAGCGCATATCTATAGACCAATATTGTGAAAATCACTTATCAATAAAATGACATATTTATCAAAATTTTAATAATTTCATATACATATGACAATATTTTTTTAAAGTGCTAGGCACAATATTGTGCATATAATGTATAATATTGTGCATAAATTAATCTCTATTAAATTATAAATTGCCCTTAAGTAATAAATTATACACATATTAAATGTTCAAAATTGCAAAATAGTCCCTAGCTATATCTAATTTCCAAAATAAGTTCTATCCCAAAACAATGAAATGCACATTTCTCAATCTCATCTCATCCACAATTCAGTTGCTCAATCTCATCCACAATTCGCCCAATATCAGCCCCAAATCCGCCCAAATCTCAGCCCCAATTTAGCTATTTCTCAATCTCGGCCCCGATTTCGCCCAATCTCAGCCACAATTTCGCCCAATCTAAGCCCTGATTTCGCCGCTACCAAAACTCACCGTCGGAGTCGACGTCATTCCGCCCAAACCGCCGCCATCCCCCCTGCGACGCGAACCACCAGACAGCCTGAGCCTCCACCTCGTAGGGCTTCTCGCCGGAGCCTCCTGCGGGGAAGGAGACGGGAGAAATGACAGCGGACGTCAGGTTTTCAGGCGCGGCAGAGCGCCGCCCATTCAGATTCGGAGTGACGGCTGAAGGGCAACGCCGGAGACGGCAACCACGATGAAGGCCCGCGGGGGCACGGTGGAGGCACGACCGGAGTTATCTTCTGCATTGCGGCACTCTCTGGCGGGCGACGGAGGAATGGTGGAGACATGCCGGTAGTACAGCGGAGGCCGACTGAGGTGCGGCGGAAACCGGCTGAGGCACGTTGGTAGTCTCCGACGGGTTGGGCTTCTGTGTGTGTGTGTGCTGAGAGTGTGCGTGTGTTTGTATGTGTTTGTGTGGTATAAATATTAGGGTTGGTAGGTTAGTGTGTAATGTCTGGTTTGCCCCTATTGAGTAGTTAAATATGTAAATTTATCACAATGTATATGTTAATTTACCATATTGTCATTAATGATTGACCAAACTTTGACTTAATCATGGCCATTGATATGATGTATCCAATGCTCTAGATTTATTCTTATTTCTTTCACTATTACTCATTCTCATTTGAGCGCACTTCTATATCTATATATATAGGGGACGGATCCAATGAGACCACTCCTTAAAACGTGAGACTCAATCTTAGCCACTCATTTTGTCTAGATCAAAATTAATTAAAATATACATTAATTAAATAATAAAATAATTATTAGTTGACTCCGGCGTTGACCGTTGACTTCCGTCGAAAATCGTTGACTTTCGGCGTTGACCGTTGACTTCCAGCGTTGACTCCGGCGTTGACCCATTGACAACTAACCTTGCAGCAAGAAATAAATAACCTAGCAACAAAAGACAACTAACCTAGCAGCAAGAAATAAATAACCTAGCAATAAAATACAATTAACCTAGCAGCATCAGACCCTAGCTGCGTCTGATGCTGCTAGGTTAGTTGTATTTTATTGCTAGGTTATTTATTTCAGACAACTAACCTAACAACAAAATACAACTAACCTAGCAGCATCAGACAACTAACCTAGCAACAAAACACAACTAACCTAGCAGCTATAGATAACTAACCTAGCAACAAAAGACAACTAGCAGCAAGAAAAAAATAACCTAGCAACTTAAGACAATTAATCTAGCAACAAAACTCAACTAACCTAACAGCTACAAATAACTAACCTAGCAACAAAATACAACTAACCTAGCAACTACAGACAACTAACCTAGCAACAAAAGACAACTAACCTAGCAGCAAGAAAGAAATAACCTAGCAACAAAAGACAACTAACCTAGCAACATCAGACAACTAACCTAGCAGCAAGAAAGAACTAACCTAGCAACTAACCTAGGGATGCTGTCTTTGGGATTGATCCCAACAGCGTTTCTGGCCCCGATGGGTTCTCTTCCCTCTTCTATCAGGTCTGCTGGGATATAGTCCAGCCTGATGTTGAGGAGGCGGTGTTGGACTTCTTCACCGGTCACCGGATGCCGGATTCATTCACGGCTACCTCTGTCGTCTTGATTCCCAAAAGACCCAATCCGAACTCTTGGTCCGACTACAGGCCCATCAGCCTATGTAACGTGACCAATAAACTTATTTCGAAAATTCTTAACGGCCGTCTTTCCCCCATTCTCCCCTCCCTCATATCTCCGAACCAGAGTGGCTTCGTCAAGGATCGGGTCATTAGTGATAACATACTACTGGCCCAGGAGATGATCCACGATATCTCCCATGCAGACTGGAAGCGGGCACCGAACATTACGCTGAAGCTAGATATGGCTAAGGCGTATGATAGAGTGAAGTGGCCGTTTCTTAGGGAGGCACTGGCTAGGATGGGATTCCCGGAGCGTTGGATCAGCTTTGTAGAGGCGTGTGTGGAGCATTGCACGTTCTCGGTCCTGGTTAATGGCAGTGTTCGTTCCACTTTTGTCATGTTTTCTTTGTTTATTTCATGCTTGTTTTTCCCCTACTTAGGTATTTTTCTTTGGTTTTTGGTCCGTTTCGAGTCGTCTCGTACTTATCCTTTGTTTTAGTCGTTTTTGGTCTTTTTGTTCGTTTTCCCCGGTTTCCTGTATTTCTTGTCGGTGGTGATGTGCAGGTTGGGAGGCTCGGTGTATGACTATGCGAGGTCAACTGTCTAGTTGGATGAGTTGGGGTCGCGATGGAGAAGACGGGATCAAATTCCGAGTCCGGATGAGAGAAGACGAACCCGAAAACCAAAGTTCAAAAATTCTTCGCCGCGGCCGCGGAGAAGAGGAAGTTGCGGCCGCGAGATGCACGTAAATTCCAATTTCTGGCTCGAGGAGGTCGCGGCCGCGAGATGTTGTTCGCCGCGGCCGCGGAGGGCTAAGTCGCGGCCGCGGAGGTCGCGACAGCAGAAATTTTATGCTGCGCGTTTGATCAGTTTTTCATTCATTCTTTCACCTAGGTTTAGACTCTCTCTCGTTTTTATTCACTCCAAAACAGTTTTTCTCTTAGTTCTTCATAGGATTTGATCTTGGATTGTGAAAACACCAAGATTAAGCTTGTGGATTCGGTTATTCGTGTATGCAACATTGGATTCTTCAATCGTAAGCTTTCGTTTCGTTTACTTATTGATTGAATGGATTTGATTATTATATGTGTTGGAGTTGAATGCATTATGAGTAGCTAAATCCTTTAGCTAGGGTTAAGGGAAGATCGTTCCGGTTTGATTTTATTTATGTGCATGATAATTGCTCAATCCTCTCGAGTTGTGCTTAACTTAGGGTTTTGATGATTGATCACCATCTTAATCTATCTAATCGATTTTAAAACTGAAAAGGGAGAAATCGTTTGATCTAGGCTCGTTAGGAATAAGCTTGTTCGTAATAGTATTGCTTATGTGTTGATTGCTCCAAGAATTGCTTATTAATGTCTATCCTCTTGTTACGAAGAGTTATTGAGGATAGACCTCTAGATGAGTAGTTTAGCGAGGCATTCAACCGAGCTCTTGATTGCTCGTTAAGTGTATTGAGAACCGGAATTGATCGACCCCGATACCCTAGCTCCTTCATTATATATTAAATTTGTGATTCCTAGTTTGCCTGCCCTGTTCAATTACTTGCTTTTCAAATTAGTAGACGAAAATCAAATCTCC